CGATTATTATTTATTAAATTAGCTTCGCGAATCATTCGTTGAACTGTGTTCGGACACGGAATTATTTAAATTAAGATATCATTTACGTACTTTGTTTATCTTCACTGTACGCCTTGCTTAAAAATTTCATATGTTGACCTTGACATAACCTTGATATGTCAAGGTTACACACAAGGTGTCATGCACACTAGAAAATTAAAACGGCCATCACGCTTAAATTACTTACTATTTCGGGTCCGAAAAATTAGTAAATATTCTTCAGACGTTCTAAAGTAAAGGCGAACAGCGTTTTTCTTAAAAATATCACTGTTACGTAGTAAAAAAAAAAATCCGGAAAGTTCCCGCTTCGTGATTTGTTCAATACTTCGAACGCGGCTCGAGTCCGTTCCGACCATCTGTCAAAGCCTCGTGTTGCGGGCTCTCGAACTTCGCGCCGTCACCTCTCATTGGTCAATGTTTTCCGTTAATAACTCGTAAGCAAAGCCGCAGATTGCATTTTCGCAAAGGAAAAAGTTACTTCAAATAACCGCAGCTACCCCTCATTTTCGGCTGTTAAAATAATTGTGGAACACCCTGTATAGTTACTCCCATTAATATTTGGATATCTTTTCAAACGCGATAACTTTTTTATAACTAGACAAAATGGTTTGAATTTTCTTTCAATGAGAAAGGGACAATCTAATGATATCTAACAGACATTCGTACAGACAATGACTAAACTACTTTATTACAATTCTGCTATTACTTGTAATGGCAAAATAAAAAAAGCTCTCGCTTTTTAACATATCTGAGCTTATAACGAAAATAAAAAAAAAATGCATTTTGTAAATCTCGGTAAAATCATGCTGAAAATTTCATCGAAATCGGTTAACTCGAAGTCAAGTTATAAACGTTAAAAGATTTAAAAAACTGCAGATTGCTCGAAAGTGTCAAAAATCGGGACAAAACTGCTATTTTTGCGATCTTTAATTCATACTCATACCAAGGTCAACCGCATACCGCATACCGCATACCAAGGTCAACATGCATATAAATTACCGAGATCTATGAAACGCATTTTTTAAATTTTCGTTATAGGCTCAGATAAAAAGTTAAAAAATGAGAACTTCTTCTTTTCTTTTCTTTTCTCATTCTAAGCAATAGCAAAATTTAAAAAGAGCATTCTAGTTATGGTTTAGTACTGGTCCCTCTATCATTTAAAAAACATTCAAGTCTTTTAGTCCAGAAAAGAAAAGTTACCGCGTCTTAAACTGTGTCCGAATATTAATGGAAGTCACTGTATGTATGTACACGCAGGATGTCCCAATTTATTTCCACAAAACTTTACCAGTATATTCTATGTGTGAAAATAAGAAAAAAAAGTTATATGAACATCGACTTTTAACCGCTCTGTCAAAAAGTTATAATAAAAAGACAAAATGATAACGGACTGATGTTTCGTCGACACAGCGTACAGTCGTGCATACGTCATAACGAGCAATATTTTATCATTCCGGATTTTGTCGGAACTTTTCTAAAAAAGCATTTAAATATCTATATTCAAGTAATATTTTTCTGTTGTTTTTATTTCTAAAATATATTGGTAAAAATTTGCAGAAGACTGGGACATTTTATATCACATACATCACAATTTTTCCTATATCTCGAATTTCATTTTTTGAAGTTGTTCATTCTAAAATCTTCATAATACTAAAAATAAATAAATCATACTTTCTTTCAATTTGTTGTTATGTGGTTTTCTCGTATGGGTTGAAAAATATTTTCTTAATTTTTTTAAAATATTTCAAGTGTTACATACAAAAATACATAAACATTATTACGGTTCTGTTTAAAATATCCTAGATTAAAATACATAAATTTGGTTTTCAAGCCTTTTATCTTGCGTAAATATAGATAGAATACACAGAAATTGTACCCGATCTACGTGTCCGTTGTTAGTTAGGAGCATCTCCTTTCACATGCCCTATTAATTACAAAATTATTTGTCTTTCTCAATAATAAATACATGTATAGAGTTTAATTGAGAAAGACTTAATTTTGTGAACGGAATACACCAAAATTATGACCGGCATCCCAGAATATTGTTGTTAACCTGTAGCTTCTTTTCTTACATGAGTTCTTACATGAGTAAAAATGTTATTTTATATTAAACACATATTAACACACTATTAACACTTTTTAAAAAACTAACATTATATACATTGGAACACGTTTAAACGATGTTGAAAAGGTGCACTTTCCGATTTACAGTAGAACCTCGATTGTCCGGTATAATCAAGGAAACATGACTATCAATATGGTAGCAGAGCGTAGTTAAACAAAATATGTGGATAAAGTAATAATTTGACCACGAAATAGATACAAGTTCTCTATTAATTGCAATAGCTATCTTAATTAATTGAAAAAATAAAATAGATACGTCGAAAATCTCTTTTCATAAAAAATATCCTTATTGGAGTATCTTCGTTCATTCATTTGTTGATCACTAGGCCCATTTATCAGTTAATCCCACGTCAAACTTTCATAAAGTTATCATAAATTGTATATTCTTATAAAGAATAATAATTATTTATAATTATTTGAATTTTTAATTAAAATTATTTGAATTTGAATTATTTGTATTTTATAATTATTTGAAGAAATGTTTCATACGAAACTTTTCCTGTTTCGAGGGGGAAATAATACAGTGTCTATTTTGTTTGTATGTACACGCTTGGAGGACACACAAAGGTCAAGATTATATGCGAACTCCTATTATTAGTAATGCACTCGTATGCACTCGTATAATATTCTATGATACGTTGAATTTTTACTTTTAGAATCTAGAGGACATGGCTTTTCCGTGTTATCTTTGTTGAAGCTTGGACCAGTGTGTACAGAAAAACTGGCTATGCAAGGAGTTGGGGCAGGCGACGCATACACGAGAGTCCCGCCAGCGGTATGGCGCGTCTACCAGACGAACATTATAATTCTGAATTACGATGATCGCGATGCGGCGTAAAGCCTCCGTCTGATCGTAGTTGAGAAATATAATGTTCACCCGGTAAACGTGCCACACCGCTGTACGGGATTCCCTGCACATGCGTCGCCTTGCGTAGTAATTTTTTATGACTGCACTGGTTGGGACAATGATATTTGTTTACGTTTTGATCATTGTTACACGGGAGTACGGAACTGCAGCAGTTAGTGCAACATACTACGTATTTACCAACATTTACAATTTTAATATTACATATAGCGTGTGACATTTTGCTACCTAAAAAATCTTAGAGGTCAAGGAAGTGTAATTCTTATCTATCATTTTTTAAGTCATTTTACGTAGCAAAATGTCACACGCTATATGTAATATTATAATATTAATATTATTGTAATATTAAAACCGTAAATATTGGTAAATACGTAGTATGTTGCAAGATAAAAGCTCTAACTCCTGCGGTTCCGTACTCCCGCTCTCTCTCTCTCTCTCTCTCTCTCTCTCTCTCTCTCTCTCTCTCTCTCTCTCTCTCTCTCTCTCTCTCTTT